AGTGAGGTTGGCCCAGGATCGGGCAGTGTTTCGTTCTGCTGTGCATAAGGTCACTATGGGTCGGTATTGATTCAATGGCAGCTAACAACAACAACAACATAGGGTATCTAGGGAGCAGCTGGTGAATTTGAACTGCTCATTTTGCAGTTTGCAGTCCAGAGTTTATCCTACAATGTCACACCAGGAGTCTTAATTCACAACTGGTAGCTTTTAATTTTTTAATGAATTTTCATCTGAGGTTTATGGATGGGTTTCAGAGATCTGAGTGAGAACCTCCTCATAGTGTATAAACATCTTTGAGCATATACACATGAGTAAATTTTAATGTGCTGTGTGTTCATAAACTTTATCAATAGCTCCCTTCTCCCGTGACAAAGGAAGTATAGCTTTCAGGCAGATATCTATGAATGAAAATGAAACAGTAAGTAAAATATTTATTTATTTGCTCAATTTAAACAATGAAAGATATGTTGATCTATCATTAATTTAAAATGTTCTTTGAGAATTTTTTCTCAATTTCATACATACAAACTTTTAAACAGCTTATTTTCTGTACAAATGTTAATTCATTTGTTAAACATTTATGAGGGATAGGAATCTTTTATCTTTTTGAACTTAAATTCCTTATTTAGACTACTCAGCAGATTGAGAAATTTGAGCCCAAAATTTGGTATACATTTACAAATTAACTTAAGGTATAATAAAAAAATCTAAATTGAAATATAAAATGTTAATAAAATGTTGTTCTTAGCATTTCAGGTGATGGCCTGCATTTAAATGAATTACAAGGCTTAGCAAATTTTCTTTTGTTAAGGGCCAGATAATATTTCAAGCTTTGCAGACCGTTAGGCAAAAACAAGGCTTTTATGTAGTGGGTATTGACATAATAAGACACCTGATGTGGCACTATACGATAAACACTGGACTGCCAACTGCAAGGTCAGTGGTTCAAATCTACCCGCAGCTCCTCAGAAACCTTTCAAAGGGTTGCTATCAGGTGGAACCAACTCAACTTTGCAACAACAGTAATTTATATAATAAGGAGCTTCTAATAGGAAAAACACACTTCCACACATAGTTTATTGACTAAGTTAAAAATACAAGCCTACTAATAAGAACAAAAAGGAGCTCTGGTAGCGTAGTGGTTACGAATCGGGCTGCGAACCTCAGGGTAAGCAGTTCGAAACTACCAGCTGCTCTGCGGGAGAAAGATGAGGCTTTCTGCTCCCATAAAGATTTTCAGCCTTGGAAACCCTGTACAGGGTCGCTATGGGTCGGAACCGACTCGATGGCACATAACAACAACGAGAACAATGAAATTATTTGTTGAGTACAACTATTCACCTAATTGATATCCAAAGTTATCAACAGGATCTATTGCAAATGTGCTTTAAGATGTATTGTATCCTTTGATAATGTCTTTTCATACCAATATCGTTGTTGTCAGTTATTGTCGAGTGAATCCCAACTCATGGCAGTTCCAAGTGTTTCAGAGTAGAGCTTCTCCATTAGGCTGTTAAGACTGAACTTTTGGAGGCAGATCACCTAGAACTGTCGTCTGAGGTGCCTCTGGGTGGGTTTGAACCGCCAACCTTTTAGCTAGCAGTTTAGTTATTAAACATTTGCACCACCTAGCTTCCTCCTAAAAAATACCACCTCAGTAATTGTTAAAAAACAAAAACAAAAACAAAACAAAAGGAAGGTAGAGTAACTTTACAGTGGAGAAACCTAACGAACCCTACCTCAGTCAGATGATTAAAGTATACTTGATTGTTTGTACATTTACTTTGATGTGATGAGATTGGTTCTTTCCCTCTATAATCTACCCTAAAACCCATAATCCCAGTAAAACCACGAGAAAAACATCAAACAAACCCAAATTGAGGGATGTTCTACAAAATACTTAACCACAGCTTCTCAACTCTGTCAAGGTCATCAAAACCAAGAAAAGTCTGAGAGACTGTCACAGGGTAGCCTAAGGAGACCTGGCAACTACAAGTAATATGGTGTCGTGGAGGGATTCTGGGACAAACAAAGGTGTTAGGTAAAAAAACTGAGGATATTCAAATTAGAGTATGATGTTTAGTCATTGTTGCCGTATCATTATTGGTCCATGACTCCTTGCCTTCGAGTTGATTTCAACTCAGGGTAAGCCACCCTGGAGGACAGAGTAGAGTGCCCAGAAGATTTCCACAGCTGTAAGTCTTTGTGGGAGTCCTGCTGTGGCACTGTGGGCTAATGTGTCAGACTGCAAAGTTGTTTGAACTGCAGGGTTAGTGGTTTAAGCTCACCACCTGCTCCTTGGAAACCCTATACAGGGTCGCTGTGGGTCAGAATCGACTCGACAGCACTTAACAACAGCAACAAGTCTTGTGGAAGCAGACTCCTTTCTCCTGTAGAGTAGCTGGTGGTTCTGAATGGCTGACCTTTTGATTAGCAGCTAAGAGCTTTAGCCAGTATGCAACCAGAACGGTGTTGGTCGATTAAGTGTGATAAATGCATTATAGTATTGTAAGATCTAAGTACAAGAAAAAGTAATATAGAGGAAATTGGATGCATGTATGGGAATTTTCTGTAAATAAATCTAAAACTGTTCTAAAATAAATAAGTTTATTCAAATTACATTAAGATACTCAAAGTTAGCACATGCCACTTAACTTCGTTTAAATTGTTGCACTTACGGAATATTTCTGGAATAACTATGTTAAGAATATGTTGCAGGCATTGAGCCACTTAAGTTGTTTTTCCAATAGCACAATCCTCATGTGATTTGGCAGGCCAAGCATGTGGATGCTGAATTGTGGATGATACATATGTTGCCAATTAGTCAAGTGAAACTGAGTGAATGAGCTCTTGGTAGTCCCTTTTACACCTCAAAAAATAGCAAGAGGCGAAAATTAAAAACTCCACAGCTATTACTAGTAGCTAGTTCTAAAAGCACTTAGGCTTTATGTATAGTCCTTGGGGAGACAGCATACAGTTGTACCACATTGACATTTTGCTTCATTGGCCTAGCTTCAAACTTATGGTATCTAATTTAAGTGTTGACTCATTGTAATTTGCTTCATTAAACATAACTTCTTAGCTATTCTAATATGATCTAATGGACATTCATGAACCACTGAAACCAAAGCAGATTTTCTAGTTTTACTAAAATCTGAAACTCAAAAGGCAGATGATAGAGATTGTTTTGATCAACTAGGCAACTAATTATGAGTAGATAAGTCACAAATTGTCTTTAATTTGCATTCACTTTAAATGCATTACTTAAATTTAACATGTGTATGAAGATGGTGAAGCTTATAAGACCTGTTTTTGTTTCTGAATTTTTTTGTAGTACCACCCAGCATTAAAGGAGGAAATGTCACCACAGAAATATCAGTGTTGATCAATAGTGTAATTAAACTGGAATGTGAAACACGGGGACTTCCAGGACCTGCTGTTACGTGGTATAAGGATGGTCAGCCAATCATATCCAGCTCACAAGCACTGTATATTGATAAAGGACAATTTCTCCAGATCCATCGAGCGCAAGTCTCTGACTCAGCAACATATACATGTCATGTAACCAATGTTGCTGGAACTGCTGAAAAATCATTCCATGTGGATGTCTATGGTAAAGAAAAATATATGTTTGAATTACATGCTTTCTATCTATGCTTTCTAATGTGCTTTCAGTTAGTTCATCAATAAAGAGTTGTAGATAATGACTGCTTTTAATATGCCTGGATAAGAATTGGATGTATTTGTCCCATGATTTGGCAATACATAAACGCTAAGGTGAGCAAGAAGTGGTCCACTTATTCAATGAAATTGGGTATCCAGAGCATTTGGTTTTTATTTGGGAAACAATTTAGTTCATAAGACTAAGATCAGTCTCCACTTTTTGTGATTTACTAGCCCGACACAGAACAGGACAATAGAATAATTTCATAGTTGCAAGAACAAGGAAATTCTTCCCTCAACAGTTTAGAGGGAGATGGACATGTAGAAACTCTTGTGGTTAATCTACATAAGAATTAATATCCCATTTATTTCAGTAGAATGTATTTTGTGACTGAACAGGGAAGTGCCTGAAATAATACTTTTGTCTACTTAGTTCCCCCAATGATTGAAGGTGACTTGACTATACCACTGAGTAAACAAGTGATTGTTGATCATTCCCTGACATTGGAGTGCAAAGCTGCTGGCAACCCTCCTCCTGTTCTTACCTGGTTAAAAGATGGTGTACCTGTGAAGGCCAATAACAACATCCGCATAGAAGCTGGTGGAAAGAAACTTGAAATCACGAATGCCCTAGAAGTCGATCGGGGGCAATACGTATGTGTAGCCACCAGTGTGGCAGGAGAAAAGGAAATCAAATACGAAGTTGATGTCTTAGGTAAATAAGGATGCCATTACTTGCTTTATAAGATTCTTAGTAAAGCTAACTAGTTTATCAAATAATTCTTTGTTCATTGAATAATTAATAAAACAATATCCAAGGAATTGTAGCTGCCTGTTTATGCTAGACTGTATATTACCAGGCAGTTGATTTATCACAAGAATTCCCAAGATCTGGAAACATACCTAAATCTTACACTAGCTTTGATAGATACTCTTTGCATTTGTAAGTATATAGATCCATTTTTACATGTTTGACAATATCTGTTTGTATCTGTGTGACACACACAATATCTGTGTGACAACGTGGTCGTCTGTGAGGAGTATTGGGATAGACAGTAGGAAACTATGCTTTGGACTTCGAAGGTCATCTTGCAAACTTGAGTCTCTGTTTCTTTCTCAATATATTGAAGACTTTTGAATAGATGCCATGCTTTTGGAGGCTCCCTTCTCGTTCTTATGAAAATAGATAATATAAAATATGAATAAGCTTTATATTCCTAGGGCATCAGCAGTACCATACTGCTAGAATAATGGAGAAACATCCTCAATATGTCAAAAAGACATTTATCCTGGCATATGTTTATTGTAGAAAATATTTAACCAATTAGTTGCCATTGGGTCACAAATACCCCTTTTCTACAAAATCACAATGATACTTAGTCACCCTTCTAAACTACTACTCAATATTGCTTGATGCAGTGATATATTTTTCTTTTGCATTTCATTGTTTCATTGTATATTTCACCCTTGTTGTTTTCTAGTGCCACCATCTGTAGAAGGAGGAGATGAAACATCTTACTTCATTGTGATGGTTAATAACTTGCTGGAACTAGATTGTTCAGTGACAGGCTCACCCCCACCAACTATCATGTAAGGGTTTTGGTATGTCTTCTAAATACCTCCCACTTTTTCACTTGAAAGCTTTAGAGCTATAAGAGATCCTATGTTATTATTATTTTTTTAATGGCTATATGAAATTATTTTCTTTATATTTCTCTTTTAAAACACATAGTCCATGTACAGGGCAATTTCAACTTGACACCACCAAAACTCAGTGCCATTGAGTTGATTATGACTGATAGTGGTCTTGTAGGGCAGATTAGAACTACCTCATATAGGATTTCCAAGACAAAATTTTTTTAAGGGAGCAGAAAGCCTTATCTTTCTTCCAAGGAACAGCTAGTGGGTTTGAACTGCCAGACTCATGGTTAGCAGCCCAGTGCTTAACCCACTATGCTATCAAGCCTTCAAATTTTGCTTAATGAGAGAAATTCCATTTTATGTTCTTAAAAATTACATTTTTAGTACTTGGAAACAGGTTAGTAAACCATACTTTTATCAGATTTAAATGTGTACCATATTTAAATGCAGATAATGTGAGCATTGCACTTTTTTTTGCAAACTGCATAACTCCCTCATGTGTTAGTGTCCTGTGTGTGTTGTGCAGGGTATATGCATATGCAGATTATTTACACAGGCACATTATATGTGAAAATACACTAATGAGCTACTAGATTAGAAATGAACAAACTATATAAGGGAAATAGTATAAGTTAACATATACTTATGTTTACTGACTCTTCTTTCTCCTTCCTTTATTCACAGTGTTTATTGAATACTATCTGCCAACTTCTGTGTTAATCCAGGCTTCCTTTTTCCTTCTTCCCATTTACAACTGATTTTACAGAGTGAACCACTGGGACATTAAGCAGATACATATCTTCTAGGAATCTTACGAAATTAAAATATATTTCCATACACCTTTTTTCCTTTTTGTCCACAGGTGGCTCAAGGATGGTCAGCCAGTTGATGAAAGGGGTGGATTCAAGATTTTACTGAATGGACGCAAATTGGTTATTGGCCAGGCTCAAGTGTCAGACACAGGCCTTTATCGCTGTGTAGCAACGAACACTGCTGGAGATCACAAGAAGGAATTTGAAGTGACTGTTCATGGTATGCTAAAGAAGTGATGGAGCATCATATGTACAGATTGCTTTATGGATTAAATCATTATCTAAGGAGCCCTGGTGGCACTGTGGATTAGGCCTTGGGCTACTAACCACAAGGTTGGCAGTTTAAATCTACCAGCCACAGCCGCTCCAAGTGAGAAAGATGAAGCTGTCTGCTTCCATAAAGATTTAGACTGAGAACCCCTAAGGAGCAGTTCAGCTCTGCCCTATAGGGTTGCTATGAGTTGAAATCTACTCATTGACAGTGAGTTTGGTTTGGTTTTGGTTTTCATTATCTAATTCAGATTCAGTTAGCTCAATAATTTAGATAAATCTTGACTCGTGGAAAGTAATGTAGAGGATGCAAAATTGAGTTAAATAATAGATCTTAAAGCACTTCTAACATAGAGACTCATCCAAGAGGTACTATATGAATGGACTGAGTCAGAATTTAAATATTGAAATGTGTATTCTGCATAGAAAGCCAAGATCTGAGGAATGAGGACAAATGAGATAGAAAAGGCAGATGACAAATTTTAAGTTAAAGGGGCTGGGTCAACATCTAAAGGTTTAGCCAAAACAGGAGGGAGTGTGAATAAAGCAGTTTCCAGAAATGGAGGCTGAGGATGTTATTGAAGGACCAGGGGCAAATAAGTGCATTCACAGAACTGGCACATTCAGGTTATAAACAGCAATCTAATGATAGAAGCAACCCTTTGCCAGAATATTATGTGTCTTACTTGCCTGCAGACCTCGTGAAGGGAGGTTGTAGAACCAGAAACTGGAGAACTATTTGGAAGCCACAACGGAGGTTACTATGAACATCAAATTAATTTTTTTCTGTCTCTGCAGACATTTTCCCCCCTGCTTTTTCAGTGCCATGATGGAACATGGCTAATCATGTTTCTCAGCATCAACTCCAATTCCTGAGAGAGGGAATCTGGCAGTGCTAGTTTAAATTGAGTTACCATCAGCTTTGCTAGGGGTAGAGTCATGCAGTATGAATATGTGTTCTTGAAACTCATGTTGAATTTAGGAGGTAATTCTAGAGAAAGTGAGGCTGTTATAGATTGGGAAAACACCAAAAAGTGTAAATGAAGCTTATATGTGGATTGGAGTAGTTTTAAATATATTTTATTCATTCCATGCAGAATTAGAGCTCCATAGTTAAATAACTGTTATCTAAAATAACTAAGAAGTATAATTCAATGTGTGGGATGAAATTATTTCACTATTTGTTAAATTTTAAGGTTTCAGATTCTTTCATACGTATTTTTAAGCATTTGACACCATTGATTAATTTTTTTCTTCCCTTTTTCTGTTCTTCCTACTCTGCTCTTCTCCATTCCTTCATTCCCTCTCTCACTTCCTTCCTTTCTTCCTTTTTTTTCCCCCTTCCTTAAACCTAGTTCCCCCAACAATCAAGTCCCCAGGCCTTTCTGAGAGAGCCGTGGTGAGATACAAGCCTGTCACCTTGCAGTGCATAGCCAATGGCATTCCAAATCCATCTATTACATGGTTAAAAGATGGCCAGCCTGTGAACACTGCCCAAGGAAACCTCAAAGTAAGCATGGATATCATTGATTCCAAACTGAGAAAGCTGCATCGCATTCTTATTTCTTAGTTATAGGTTTTCCTATGTATAGATTTTGTGGAAATTTTATTAAAACAATATGTGTTTTCCTTAGACTTCTAAAGAATAACTTAGTACTTTGGTTTGAAGAATGAAAGTAATTAAAATCTTTAAGAGTCTTAAAAATGACATTTATTTTAACATTTGTTGTTGATAAGTGCCATCGAGTCAGTTCCTACTCATAGCGACCCTGTAAAGGGTTTCTAAGGAGCAACTGGTGAGCTTGAACCACCAACCTTGTGGTTCAAAGAGACTTTGTAGTCCAGGATATAAGCCTGCAGCACCATACCAGGACTCCTTTTTATAACATAGTGGTTGGTATTTTTTATTATTTTGCTTTATATAGCTTTAACTATTGAAATGCTACCATCCAGTAGATGAACATTGTTGTTAAGTTCCTTCAAGTTGGTTGTGACTCATAGTGGCCCTGTATAGGGTTTCTGAGGAGTGATAGGTGACTTTGAACCACCTACCTTGCAGTTCAAACTGACCATGTGGTCTAGTGCATTATCTTGCAGTACCACACCAGGACTCTACTATATCCCCAATATGTTCACCAGAGAATAAGATTGAGATGAAAATATACCTACATAAACTCAAGTGAACTAAATGTTGAAAACCATGTTTTAACTAGTTTATAAGCTTCAGGAGGAGTCCTGGTGTGGCGCTGTGGGTTAACGCATCAGACTGCAACGTCATTTGAACTGCAAGGTCAGTGGTTCAAGCTCACCAGCTGCTCCTGGGGAACCCTATACAAGGTCTCTATGGGTTTGAATTGACTTGACAGCACTTCACAACAACAAGTTTCAGGAGGGAGAGCTACAGTTAGCCTTACTCACTGTGTGTTGTTAATACCGAATGCCAAATAGTTCTGAAACATAGCTCTAAATCAGTACATATTTCTTCCCTTAATCGATGGATGGATAAATAGATGATAGATTGTAGTTGTTGTTGCTAAGTACCGTTGAGTTGGTTCCAACCCATAGCAACCTTTTATAGAGTTTCCAAAGAGTGATTAGTGAGTTTGAACCACTGACCTTGCAGTTCAAACCGATGTTGCAGTCTATTGTATTAACACACTGTGCCACACCAGGACTCCCAGCGATAGATAAATATAAAATTAGATTTCAATCCTAGAAAATCTAAGTTATGGATTTCAAAATAGTAATTAATCGATATTACTACTGTAATTAAGTTAATCTACTAACATGGTCTTGATATTTTATTTAATAAGTGCTTAATAATAAAGGCTGTGATGCATTATGCTCCCAGTAGATGTGATAGGGATCTGCTCATTTTTAATTATTTTTCTAAATCCAATGCAACTAACACATATGTGTTCATGAAAGATTTGTATATTGTCTTCAAACACAGTACGAGTAAACAAATGTTTACTTGAGAGGTAGACATTTAGCACATAATCATATAAAAATATAATTATAAACTGTGATGAGTGATTGTAAGAGAAAATACAGAGAACTCTAAGAATATATGGAGTCCTGGTATAGTGCAGTAGAATATGCACTCAACCACAAGGTCGGTTTGTACCACGAGACTGGTGTTTCAAAATCACCAGCCACTCCTCGGAAACCCTATAGGGGATCACTATGGATTGGAACCAACGTAACAGCACTGAACAACAACAACATAAGAATATATAATGAGAAAAGCCTTTGCATATAAGGAAGATTCATAGGAAAAGCTTTTGAACAGAGATATGAAGAATTCTTAGACGTTAAAGAGGTGAAGTTAATTGAAGAAAGCTGATTTCAAATATGTATATGGGCAAACAAATTAGAATGGTAGAGAATATGAGACATCTTGAGGACTTGAAAGCAAGCAAAATCACTTCCTCTAAACTGAGGAACAGTGAAGCAAAGGAAATATGATATTAGTAGAGATCAGAGAGCAGGTAGGAGGCACTGTTAAAAGTTTATTTTAAAACAATGAGAGGCCTCTTAGGGATTGTGAAAAAGGGATAATATGATCTGGTTTGTATTTTAAGTAGTCATTCTGTCCCCTTCTGGAGATTGAATTGGAGGAAGAGTAGATATTTAGAATGAAGACATATTGTCATTTGTTTAAAGAAGAGAGAAATTTAGATTTACATGCTCATAGAAATGAGCATGTATGGGTAGATTTAAATTACATATTAATAAATTATTAGTGCTTAGTCTTAGATTATAAAAGGAAAGGGAGGTGTCATGGAACACTTGTAGGTATCTAAACTATACAATGTGGGTAGTGATGCTATTCATTTAGATGGGAGACACCAGAGGAGGAGAGATTTGAGAAAATAAAACTAAGATTTGAATGTTAGACATCTGGGGTTTGTGGGGACTTTTATAGATAGTTGAGTATAAAGTTCTGGAGCTCAAAGTAAGGTTCTGGTTGGATACTGACACAAAGATGATATTTGCAACCATGAACACAGATGAGTTCATCTAAGAGAAGAAAAAGAGTAAGAAGATAAAGGAGAAATGCAGTCTTAAGAAAGTATGGCCTTTATAGGTCTGCTGCAATAGTACTCTAGTCCCAAGGTGAATAAAAATGTATAAATGTGCTACTTAAAACATGTTGTTCTTGTTCAGTGCCATTGAACCAGTTCTGACTCATAACAACCCTTTATAGGGTTTACAAGGAGCAATGGGTGAGTTTGAACTGCCGACATGTGGTTCAAACCTACCTTGAGGTCCAGTGCTTATTTTATAGAACCTCACCGGACTCCAACTTGAAGTATAGTATACTTAAAGTATTTGTTGTTGTTGTTAAATGCCTTCGAGTTGCTTCTGACTCATAACGATCCTGTATAGGGTTTCCGAGGAACAACTTATAAATTTGAACTACCGACCTTACAGTTCAAACTGACCTTAAGATCCAGTGTATTATTCTGCAGTGCCACACCAGGACTGCACTTAAAGTGTGCTGTTATTAAGTGCCATTGAGTCGATTCTGACCCTTAGTGACCCTGTACATGGTTTCCGAGGAGCAGCTAGTGAGTTTGAATTGCTGACCTTGTGATTCAAAGTGATTTTGCAGTCCAGCACATTAACCTACAGTTCCATACCAGGAGTCCACTTAAAGTATAGTGCACTTAAAATAGTACAGTATGCCTGAAGATTAGGTTGTATGGGTGTTTACATGGGAGAAGATCATTTGGGGTCAGGGTGTGGTAAGCCTGGAGGGCTATACTGAGTTCAGATTTCTTTCTGGATGAAGTGGGGAGCCATGAATGAGATTTGAATGAGGACTGGTAAAATAATCAAATTTGTATTTTAAACAAATTATTCTTGCAGCAATATGCAAGATAGATTAACAGTTGGAATGATTGGAGACACTGGAACATTAGTTAAAATGCTATCATAATCCCACAGTGTATCTGGGAATGGAAACGGGATAGAAGAAACATGCAATAACAGGAAAATCAAACCCAATAGGAGAATATGAAGCCCAAAGGCTGGAGGAAAGTGGGTGTCATTATACAAGTTTGGGAACATTCAATGCGAAGTTGGTTTTAGGGATAAAAGAGAAACATTTTTTTAGCTAAGTTTTGAATGTATTAAATTCCGTGTACTAACATATCAAACAAACAGAAACAGAAAAGTAAAGCTCAAAAGAGAAAACTGAACCTAACAGTGTAGATTTAGGAGTTTGCACAGGAGTTTTCACTGAAGTCCTAGGTTCTGATAAAATCTATGAGGAATATATGGTTCCTCCTTATGATACAAGAAAATGAAGCCAATTCTGTCAATGAATCGCCTAAGAAAGACAGAATGAGAACAGAGGGGATTCGGGATCCTTGATACTCTGAAAGCAGAGTTTTAAGGAGCAGGTCCAAATGCAGCAGATGGTGAAAGAGAGTCTGGTCTTAAATAGTCCTCTGGAAATTGTGGTTAGAAGTTGCTATAACCTATGAATAATCAAAGAGTAACTTCTGAATAACCAGTTTCTAAATGTTAGATGTCTGTTGCAATGTACTTTAGAAGGAAATAAGGAAAATCAGTCAGGGAGAAATATATCTGCATTCCCATTAGTCAAATTTTATAGTTTTTGTTGTTTTTCTGGCCCCCTGACCATTTAATAAGAAAATATTGTTGTTTTAAAACTATTTATGAAGTGCTATATAAATGTGGCCTTTTTTTTTTTTCAAATAGCTTAAATTTTCATCGCATACATCACAGTTCAGTGCTGAAGTCTTTTATTCAATGAGGTTTTATGATTATACCAGCAGGCAGGCCTACGGTTATTTTGTTTTGCCTTTCCCAAGAATCAGAAAAGTGATTCAATCAAATTAGTTTCTTGAGTATGATGAAGTGATCTGGCTCTAACATATCAGAAGATAATTAAGATATTGGCATGGAAATGTAATTAGAGATTATAAATTTAAATGAGTTTGTGTATCTAAGAGAATGTTTTCAAAGCCAAGTGTAAAGCATGAAATGCTGCCATGCTTTCTGCTCCCAATTAGATACAGTCTTCTGGTCGAATTCTACAAATTGCCAAAGCCCTGTTGGAAGATGCTGGCAGATACACATGCGTGGCTACCAATGCGGCTGGAGAAACACAACAGCACATTCAACTTCATGTTCATGGTAATGTAATTTACATATCTAAGCTGACAGTATTTCTGTGACTTTTTCTTTTAACATACTGGGCTCATTCTTGTTGAATTTCAGAGAAAAAGAAAGAACTGCTTCTTTTTGTCTATATGAAAACACTTAGAAAATGTTTTATATTATTGTGATTATAATTACTCATATTAACTTTTCAGGTTGTGCAATGGGCATGATTTTTATAAAGCTCACATATTTTATTGCCCCATGTTTTAAACTATTTTTATTTTATTCAATGGTAACATTCTACAGATACTGTTTGTCATAAAGACAAAAGTAGTGATTTTGTTCCTTAGCATTGTCTATGATTTTCTTGCCTGCTTATAGCAGGGATTTTGTAGATAGAATTTATCCTTGGTTCATGATCTTCTCCCATGTGCTTTCATAAAACATCTGGGTGGCCATGGAATGCCTCATTAATAATACAGCTTCGCAGTAAACTTGAAAGACTATATGGCCTTGAATTTAAGGCTTCAGATCTCTAGAGAGCTATCAGCAAGGTCCAAGAATTGTAAGCTTGAGCTATACTAAGTCAGCCAAAGGTATTCATAGAGGGCTATTTAAGATCTCTGTGTATATACGATTAATCTTCTCTAATTCACATGATTGTTCAACATTTCATTCATTATTAATTCATTCACATATTGACCACACATTTGTAGATTATCTATTATACAAGAATGCTTCAAAAAGTTGGTGGAAAATGGAATGAAAATATAATAGAATTTTTCCAGGAACTTTTTGACACCTCTTTGGATATGCTGGATGTTGGAAATATACATATAAGCAAATAGTTTCTGAAGTTAAGGAATACATGTCCAAAGTACAATTGTCTTACCATCCTAACTTCTAAGAAGCAATCTGGCTGTACTTCTTCCAAGACAAATTTTTTTATGCTACTGACAGTTGATGGTATGTTCAATATTCTTAGCAACACCATAATCCAAATGCATCAATTCTTCTACAGTCTTCCTTATTCATTGACCAACTTTCACATGCATCTGAGGTGATTGAAAATAGCATGAGCCTTGGTAGGCACACTTCAGTTCTCAGACAGGTAGCTTTGGTCTTTTACAGCAGATTTGACAAATGCAATACATGATTTAATTTCTTGCCTGCTGCTTCCATGAGCATTGATTGTGAAAACAATCAAAATGAAATGTTTGACAACTTCAGTCTTTTCTCCATTTATCACTCAGAACAGTAATGGATACTTCAAACTTGACTCTGTCCTCTTCAATGTTTATATTAATGACTTCAGTGAGAATTGCATAATTGTAAGCTTCAAAAAGACTTCAGAGGTTAAAATGATGGATTAATCCAATGAAAAACTACAGAAGAATAGAGTTAGAAAAGAGTGGTGTAAAGACAATACTCATTGAGCTACCCAAGAGAATTACTTACCTTTCCTCAAGTTATTGTACAACTAATAAGAGCCAAATAACCCTAAAACATGGAAGGCATCAATTAACTACTACCATTGAAGTGGCTATGAAGTGGGGAATATTTTATGGTTGTCACCTTTAAACTTTATACTTACTCTTTGAATTTTTACAACTTATTGTATCTAATTCTGGGCCTATATATTAAACAGAGTGTTAACCAAACAATAGGAAAGCAATTATCAGTTCACTTAATTTGCTTATGAAATTTATTTAGGAGTACCTTAGTGGTGTAAATGGTTAAAACACTTGGCTGCTGACTGAAAGGTGGGAGGTAAGAGTTCATTCAGTAGTAGCTTGGAAGAAAAGTGTAGCTGTCAGCTTCTAAAAATCTTATGGAACAAAGTTCTGCTCTGACATGCATAGAATTGTAATGAATTGGATTAGATTCAGTGGCCACAAGTTTGATTTATGCTAGAAGTTGGGAGATATAAGAACATGAAATGATTTTATCCCAGTAGAGTTGTTATTGTGACGTACCATTGAGTTGGTTATGACTATAGGGTTTCCAAGGAGTGGCTGGTAGATTTGAACCACTGAACTTGTGGTTAGCTGTCCAGTGCTTACCCTACAGTGCCACACCAGGACTAAAGTAGACAAATATATATAAATAATTAATAATAATTATCATTTAGCAAGACCCAATTCATACCAGGTTCTCTGCCACTTTTATACCTTGTGAAAAAGGGTATGAGGGCAGGTGTTCATCTGTCTACACAAGGGATGGAGAATCAAACTACTCAGCATCAGTACAAGGCCAGATCCTCTGAGGCAGAGTTCATACATACCTGTACATTCCAAACTTCTTTATCAATCCTGCTTCCAGCCATTCTCCCTACAGCGCTCTCTACTTAACTGAATTCAATAATTACTTGCAATGGCCAGAGAAGTCATACACCATACTCACACTTGTAAGTTTTTTTTTTGTTTTGTTTTTAAAGAATGTCAACAGGCTACAATTTAGTATTAGAAATGATCAGGGCACAATTCTTACAGTCAGAACAGCCTTTTCCCAGGCATGCCTACAGGCCGCTCTCTGTGGTCCTTGTCCTCTCAACCATAGTATGTCTTGGCGTGCTTCACCAATGTTGCAAAGCTCTTCTGTTGTTGTGGTTATGTGCTGTGGAATTGATTCTGACTCACAATGACCCTGTACAGGGTTTTCAAGGCTGTAAATCTTTACAGGAGCAGAAAGCCTCATCTTTCTCCCGCGAAACAGCTGGTAGTTTCCAACTGCTGACCTTGCGGTTCATAGTCAGCTCTTCTAGGGTTGCTGATAAATGCCTAAGGACACACCACTTCACCATAAGTCTTAGCCCGGTGTCACTGGGCTCTATCTCTCTGGATTAACAAACCTAGCTCCTCAATTAAGTGTCTGGAGATACCCCACTCCACAAGTGAGCCTCCTGCTTAAAGACACTCACCTTTACCACTCTGTCTGGTGCTTTGGCTCTTTATTCTGCTGCTACGGTTCCTCTGCCATTCCTCTGGTGTTACAGTTTTCTGCCCCTGGACCAGGATGTTCATTGTTCTGGGTTCTCAGTGTTCAAAGGATATGCTCCATTCCTGGCTCCTCTTCCATGATGATAGTGAGATTCCCCTTTTCTGTTTCTGGAATGTCTCATTTTAAACCAGGCAAAATGAAAATATTGAACAACTCCTTCATTAGATTTCCAAGTTTGTAGAATTACAATTAGCCCTGTTAACAATCATTCACAACTGAATCATATCATCATATCAGCATCTTCCTCACCTTCTCTTACCCAGATACATAAGGAAAAAACAGTTGTTTGATGGGAGTTACAAAGATTATGGGTAGAAGAGTCATATGAAGTAATTCATTGCGCTGAACATGTTGTTATTTTTTGTTATTGTCAGGTGCCATCAAGCTGTGAGGATTTTTGTTTTCTTATATTCAGTGAGCCACACTGAAGGCTGTAGTCTTTGATCTTCATCAGTGTGTGCATTTTTTCACATTTAGTAAACAATATCATGTTGTCTGCTTATTTGTTATTAAGTACCATCAAGTCAGTTTTGACTCATAGCTACCCTGTATAGGATTCCCAGCTGGTGGATTTAAACTGCTGCCCTTGTGGTTCACAATCTAGTGCTGATCCTACAGAACCACACAGAAGATTGTTAATAAGTCTTCTTCCAGTGTTGATGCCACATTAGTCATCATATAGTCAAGCTTCTCAGATTATTTGATCAACATATAGATTCAATAAGTATGGTGAAAAGATACAGCTCTGACACACACCTTTTCTGACTTTAAAGCTCTCAGTGTCCTCTTGTTCTGTTCGAACCACTGCCTCTTTGTCTATGTACAGATATCCAATTTGTTATGATCCACACAGTCATAACTTAGTCAACAAAACAGGTAAACATCTTTCTGGTATCCTCTGCTTTTAGAAAAGATAGATCTGACATCAATGCTGAGATTCTTCTTTCCACATCCTCTTCTGAATCTGGCTTGAATTTCAGGCAGTTCCCTGTCTATGTGCTGCCGCATCCATTTTTATTTATCTTTTGCAAAATTTTGCTTGCATGTGATATTAATGGTATTTGTGATTATTTCCGCATTCTGTTGAATCACCTTTCTTTGGAATGAGCACAAATATGAATCACTTCCAATCAGACGGCAGGTTACTCTCTTTCAAATTTCTTAGCTTAGACGAATGTGCATTTCCAGCAGCTGGAGATTGCATTTAAAAGTGTGTAGTGCCTTTGTCTGTTATATTGTATTGCAAAAGTAATGCACACAGATAATGTCTTGTGCATTATTTTTGCATTTATTCAAAATTGGCTCAGATAGCATAGTGGTTATGAATTTGGCTGTTAACCTGAAGGTCAGCAGTTGAGAACTACCAGCCGCTCCACAGGAGAAAGATGAGGCTTTCTGCTCCCATAAAGATCTACAGCCTTGGAAACCCTATGAAGGGTTGCTCGGAGTCAAAACCAACTCTACGGCACACCACCACCACCACCATTATATAATTTATCAAAGAAGTACGCCATGTCATTGAAGAAAGAATGAATTACTGACAGATAACTTCTTTACTTCACTTTCTGCTTATTCATCAATATGAATGATATGTGCAATCAACATTCATGTCAGAACTATACCAGAGAATTGATTGTTAAACATCAGCCATTCTACCATTGAATAGGTACTAAGTGCTGTGTGAACATGGAACAAGAAGTGCTTAATTCTGCATGGGGGTAGGGGATTTAAAGAAAACTACACACGAGGTGAAACTTGAGTTAAATCTTTAATGAGTTGGTTTCCTCTGAGAGTAGATGAGAGTAAAAATGTTAAACAAATGAGATAAAATGTAAAAAGGAACTTTTGTCTAAAAAACAAAGCAAAAAAAAATTTTTTTTAAGTATAAGGAATATCTTTAGATATTTAAAAAGCTTACACTTGGAAAATGCTCATTGTCACCGAGTTGAGTCCAATTCATGGTGACCCCATTCTATATAAGCTTGCTGTGAGTTGGAACCGACTCCACAGAACATCACCACCACCAGCAGCAG